CAATACGAGCGTCGTGGAGTCGTTTGACCTTGTCCTTATAAATCTTCGAATTCTCGCACGCCTCATTTCGCAATTCCTCGAGTTCCGATAGTTGCAACAATCTCTCCTTTCCGGCCGAATCAAGGTCAAAGTTCATCTTCTTAATCGCCCAAAACGCTTTGTGTTCAATCTCGACCGGGAGATGGCAAGCCTTCCCGTAGACGAGCCGAAAAGGACTCATCCCCAACACTCTTTTGTATGCAGTCCGTTGTGCCCATAATGCGTCGTCGAGTCGTCGGGACCAATCCTTTCGGGATGAATTCACCGTCTTCTCTAAGATAGTCTTAATTTGCTTGTTGCTCGTCTCCGCTTGCCCCGACGTTTGTGGATGGTAGGGTGTCGCCACCTTGTGCGATATGGCGTATTTTGTCATCAACTTCTCGAATAGACGGTTGCAAAAGTGTTTGCCTCCGTCACTCACAATGGCCCGAGGGAATCCGAACCTGCTCAAAATATTACCTTACAAAAACTTGATAACTACGTTAGCGTCGCATGTCCTTGTGGGGATGGCCTCGACCCACTTGGACACATAATCAACCGCAAGCAAAATATACTCGAAACCAAAGGACTTAGAAAACGGTCCCATAAAATCGATGCCCCAAACATAAAAAAATTCAACTTGTAGATTGTTAACAAGAGGCATTTCATTTCGGGAACCGATATTCCCAATCCTTTGACAACGGTCGCAAGCCTTACAAAAATTATGAGCATCTCGGAAAATAGTAGGCCAAAACAAACCTGATTGGAGGACCTTAAAGGCGGTCTTTCGACCCCCCAAAGTGACCTCCGCAATGAAACTCATGGCAAAAGGCAAGAACGTCCGATTGCTCTTCTTCAGGCACACACCTCCGTAGCACCTCGTCTTTCCCCATCTTATAGAGAAACGCATCGTCCCAATAGTAATTCCTGCACAATGCAACAAATCTTTTCCTCTCTTGAAAAGAGAGGTTAGCCAACAAAACACCATCGGATAAATAATTTACTATATCCGCGTACCACGGATGACTCGACACTTCACTCAATTGCTCATATGGAAAATCGTCACTAATGGTAACATGCTCGTGCAATGTGAGTGATGAATCGGAAGGAACAATACGAGACAAATGATCAGCTACAACATTTTCACACCCTTTTCTATCACGAATTTCAACGTCAAATTCTTGTAAAAGTAAAATCCACCGAGTAAGTCTCGGTTTCGATTGAGTTTTTCTCAAAAGATACCTTAATGCCGCATGATCGGAATGCACAATTACTTTAGATCCCAAAATATAAGATCTAAATTTATTGAGAGAAAAAACTACGGCAGGGAGCTCTTTTTCGGTCGTCGTGTAATTTAATTGAGCGCCGTTTAAAGTCAAACTAGCATAATAAATCATGCGAAGTAATTTATCAACTCGTTGACCTAAAACGGCTCCAACAGCAAGATTTGACGCATCACACATTATTTCAAAGGGTAACGACCAATCCGGCGCAATCACAATAGGTGCTGTTACGAGCTTATTTTTCAACTTTTCGAAAGCATCAAATATGCATTATCAAAAACAAAAGGCACATTGTTAGCAAGCAAACGACATAATGGTTCGCTTATTTTTTAAAAATCTTTGATAAAACGCCTATAGAAACCGGCATGACCCAAAAAACTTCTAACACCTTTAACATTTATGGGAGGGGGAAGTTTTTCAATCACATCGACCTTAGCTTTGTCGACTTCAATTCCTTTACTAGAAATAACGTGTCCCAAAACAACTCCACTTTTAACCATAAAATGACTCTTTTCCCAACTTAAGGTCAAGTTAGACTCAATGCAACGCTTGAGAACTTGAGATAAATTATGGAGACAATGAGAAAAAGAATCACCGAAGATAGAAAAATCATCCATAAATACCTGAAGGAAGTCCTCGAGCATATCGAAAAAAAATAGAGAACATGCACCTTTAGAAAGTCCCAGGTGCATTGCAAAGTCCGAAAGGCATACGTCTAAATGCAAAGGTGCCGAATGGACATGTGAATGTGGTCTTTGGCTGATCCCCGACAACGGCGCCATTTTGTTTGCAATATTTTTGGGCAAGAAGTAACAGAGTTACCCGACTCGGGTCGTTCTCAAAGGAAGATTAGCCGGACTAAATAAAACATTTATTTAATTTACAAAAGAGAAAATAATCCTAAACATTCTAATTCAATTTGATGATTGGATTTTTAAACTAAATTTTATAACTTTTTAACAATAATAAAATAACTAAAATGACAATAATATTCCAAGCTATTATTAATGCTATCGTTTTACTCGTAAAACTTTCAAATGAAAAATTCGTTTTACTAGTAAAAACTTTCGAACGATAAAGTTGTTTTACTCGTATGAACTTTCAAACAAAAAGGTCGTTTTACTCGTAAAACTTTCAAACGAAAAATTCGTTTTACTAGTAAAAACTTTCGAACGATAAAGTTGTTTTACTCGTAAAAACTTTCAAACGAATAAAATGAAAAATATAATTTATAATGAATTTAAAAGTTTAGGGTATTGGGGATAATCAATTCCGGTTTTATTAACATTTATTAATAATTAAATTACTCGGTTAACCGGTTCACTTAATTAACTCATCTAGTAGTTTATCTGTACTAACTCTCGTAATATACGGATGAACTTTAAACAAGTGAATTAGTAAAACGGTTAACACATAAACAATACGTTTCCGAACATGTCTATTCCAAACAAATCAAGTTCTATCAATTTCGCCTCTATCGATTTTGAAATTGATTATGTAGATTAAAATGGTGACCAATCATTTAACCATAAGATTAATAAAATTTGTAAAGATTGAGTAATAAAAATACTTATAAATGTTAATAAACCAAAATGATTATCCCATAACCCTAATTAGGAAATTAGTTGATCATAGTAATTTTAACATACAAATTCTTATGGAAACAAACCATTGATAACATAAAATGAAAAGAAAACTTACTATTGATTCACAAGCAAGAGGAATTGTAAACGTAATGTCTCAACACATCAACAATCTTCAAACTTATAAACTTCAAAATACAA